AGCCCTGACCTGGTGTTCGTGTGCTGGCTGGGGTGCAGGATGCCCACAGCCCGTGGCCAGGGCTGCTGGCTCAGCAGGGCACCAAGATAAGGCTGTGGCAATCCTGTGGGGCTGGAGAAGAGAGAAGGGTGGGACAGGGAGACCGGGGTCGTGCCTGCCGCTGTGAAACTACCCCCCGCCCCAGCTTTATGTATCCCTTGGTCATCCCTCAAAACCACCTTTGGGGCAGGCAGCCACTGGGCAGGACTTCAGACCTTTTCCTCTCTGCCAATACCAAGGGCATCATCAGGTGCCACCCCTTGGGGCTGAGATTTAGGGGCATGGGACAGGGCATGGGGCTTAGCTGTGCTCCTACTGTGTGCTCTGCCCCACGCCCCCAAACCCCAGCCTCACGCCCCATTCCTGTACCTCCTTCCCATCCTCAAGGCTGGGTCTGCAGAGACCCCCAACTCAGGGAGGAGAAGCCCATTGGGTAGCGGGCAGGGATCCGGCCTCCAGCTGGGGGTGGCACAGCCTGGAGACAGTCCCGTAGACAGGGAAGTGATGTGCCAGGTAGGGGGTGGGATGCGAGGTTGTGTAAGGTGGGGAAGGGGTGCACTGGGAAGATTGCTGGTGGCATCAAAAAAACCCCAGGAGTGGAGTAGTGGAGGACAGCAGCATAGCCCAGCCCTGTGGCATCAGCCACTTTGAGAAACCATTTTGAGAGGGCAGGCACCAAAAAAGCCATTGCCACAGGCTCAGTGGCAAGCTCCGTGGCTGGGAGGGTTTGGGAATTTTGGGGACTGGGAAGTGGAAGGCAGTGGCCAAGGTCATCTCCATGGCATCAGGCCCTCCATGTTTGTGGCTAACAGCCCCCTGGCCTGGTTCAGCCCACTGCTATTACTTTGGGGAACCTTTTGATGGGGGGCAGGCATTGAAACCCCCATCACTGTGGGCTCAGTGCCAAGGGCCAAGAGGGGAGGAGAACTGGGAGGGGCAGCAGGTCCCATCCTGGGCGCAGGGTGCCCATGGGCAGGGTGCCCGGCGTTGTCCTGTGCCGCAATAGCACCTGAGGGGACAATCACCCTATGAGTATCGGAGCTCTCTTTGGGTGTCGTGGAGCCTTGGAGGACTGTGGGGACCTTGACTCCAGGTGCTTCCTGCCCTTATATGGTGAATGTAGGCTGGGACAGGAGGGGACAAAGGTCTTTTGGCTGCTGGCACCCGAGCACTTTGCCTAGGTACGCTCACCTGTGCCCAGCTCCGCAGGGAAGGTGAGGGGCTGTTGTGGGGGGCTGGAGGA